AAATTGCCTCAGCTGAACCTGTAGCAGGTTTAGGTTGGTGTGAGGTTTAAGTTCAGTCCTTGTGTGAGGTTTAACTCGTTTCCCCAAGGCTGAAACGCCCCTATTCCCCCAAACCCCGCGGGCTCACCCTGCGTCTCCAGCAGGTTCTGCACCACCTCCTCCAGCCCCACCAGGTAGATGAACTCGTTGTTGGCGGCGCTGGGCAGGAAGTTCATCTCGGGCGCAGGAGGTTTGGGCGGGGGGATCTCCAGCAGSGTTTTCTCCAGCTGCTTGCGCAGCGCCAGCTTGGCGGCGGCCTGCCTGCTGCCGGGGGCGTCCCCCGAGCCCCCCAACGCCGCAGAGCCCGCCGGGGCCGAGCCCCCCGCGCCCCCCGGCACCGCCGCGCCCTTCAGCGACGTGGGCGACGCCTGCCAAGAGACCGAGCTAGGGTTGGGGGATCTTAGGGATTGGGGGATCTCTCGGATTGGGTGATCTTTAGGATTGGAGGATCTCTGAGATTGGGGGATTCCTGGGATTGGAGGATTTTAGGGATTGGGGGATCCCTGGGATTGGAGGGTTTTTGGGATCAGGGGATCTCTGGGATTGGAGGATTTTTGGGATCAGGGAATGTTTGGGATTGAAGGATTTTTGGGATCGGGGGATCTCTGGGATTGGATGATTTTTGGGATCAGGGGATCTGTGGGATTGGAGGATTTTTGGGACCGGGGGATCTCTGGGATTGGAGGGTTTTTGGGACCGGGGGATCTCTGGGATTGGAGGGTTTTTGGGATCAGGGGATCCCTGGGATTGGAAGATTTTTGGGGCCAGGGGATCTCTGGGATTGGATGATTTTTGGGATCAGGGGATCTCTGGGATTGGAGGGTTTTTGGGATCAGGGGATCTCTGGGATTGGAGGATTTTTGGGATCGGGGGATCTCTGGGATTGGAGGGTTTTTGGGATCGGGGGATCTCTGGGATTGGAGGATTTTTGGGGGATCTCTAAGATTGGGGTATTTTTGGGGCCAGGGGATCTCTGGGAGCTGGAACCACTGCTCCCCTCCCCGCAGCCCGAGCACAGCGCTGACCTGCGGGATGTTGACGAGCAGGCTGGCGTTGGGCACGTTGGCCACGCGGATCAGGCCCTGCTGGATGATGCGCTGGCCCTGGATCTGCACGCTGGGCACGGAGGCGCGCGGCGCCAGCAGCAGCGGGGGCGGCCCCGTGCTCGAGTGCTGCCGGATGGTGTGGATTTGCTGCGGAAACACGGGATGAGCACGGCACCAAGGCACAGAGAGCCTGCAGGGACAGCCGGGACGCTGCTCCCTCTGCCCCAGCACAACCCAGACATCCCTGCCCCAAATCCCCAAATTCACAGTGCAACTCCTGAGTGCTGCCGGATGGTGTGGATTTGCTGGAAAAGTGGGAATTGATGGGATAGAAGGAATTATGAGAAGAAAAAATATGGATTGGGTTTAATTCCCTCTTCCTGCTCTCCTAAAAAGCCCTGGAAGCTGGAAGGAGGTGAATTCATTTTAACAATTAAGGAAAACAACTTTTTATGGGACACACATAAAACCCCTGGAATGCTGTAGCCARAAGAAGAAATCCTGAATTTTTCATTGGATTGGGAGCAGGAAAAGCGGGGAAAGGAAAGGGAAAGGCTCACCTGGGCCCCTCGGACCAGGGGGGGCATCACGATCTGGGGGTTCTGCTGCGTTCCCAGCTTGGAATTCGCCTGCTGGCCCCCCCGGACCAAGGGAGGAGGGATCACAGTGCCAGGGATCCGGCTGGAAGAGGTCTGGAAAACAGGGAAAAGCTGTGATCAGAGCCAGGGGAGGGGTGGGATGGTGGGAAGATGCAGGGTGGGAATGGGGTCAGGGCGGCTGCAGTGGGCAAAAAAAAACCCGATAAAAATGGGGAAAAAAACGTTGGGAATTCTGGAAATGGGGAATCCAAATGGGAGAATTGATGGAGCAAAAGGAGGGTGGAGGAAGGCAGASAGGGAATGAGGGAAAAAAAARCAGGAGAAAGGGAAAGCTTGAGGAAAAACGAGGAGGAAAGGGAATCGAGATAAAGGAGTTTGGAAAAGCTGCGGCCCGAGGATTCCCGGCTTCGATCCTCAGAATTCCTCCTGGAGCTGGGCAGGATATTCCCAACTCTCGGAACGCTCCCGTCTATCCCATCCTGGGGCTTTCCAAAGGCTGCTCCCCGCTTCCCTCCTTCCCAGCCTCTGGAATCTGCCCAGGGAGGCRCAGAGGAGATTCCTGCACCTCTGGATTCGGGAACGGCTCCGGAGCAGAGCAGAACCCCCCTTCCTCAGGCCCGGAATTCCGGCGGAACGTTCTAAATCCCAAATTCATGATGGATTGACGAGGATGACTGACARCTGTCTGCTGACTCTGGGCTCTCCTTCCCTAAGGATTCCCAGGATTTTGTTCAGCCTGGAACGGGATCTTTCCAACCCCAATTCAGCCTCAGAGAATCCCGGGATTCCCTCAGCAATTCCAGACAGAATCCAGTGATTCCCTCACAGAAAATCCAGGAATTCCCTCAGCTTTTCCAGAAAGAACCCCATGATTCCCTCAAAGAGAATCCTGTGATTGCCTCAGCTATTCCAGAGGAAATCCCTTGATTCCCTTCCAGAGGAAATCCCGGGATTCACTCATCCCTTTGCTCAGGCCACAATTCCACCTCTGCAGCTGCCCCACAGTTCCCTGCCGGGATTCCCTGGAATTCCCAGTTCTCCAGAGGATCCACACCCCGTTGTCCCTGTCCACCTCCGAGCGGGATCGCGTGGGAGCCGGGGATCGGGCCGGTTTTCCCGGGATTTTTCCCGTTTTCCCGGGGCTTTTCCCTGCTCCCACTGACCTGGAGGGAGGCTTTCCCAGCGGGAGCAGTCTGAGGGCCCCGCACCAAGGGCGGGGGCGCGGCCGCAGCGCTTCCCGAGGAGCCGGAGGGCTGGAAAAGGAAAACACCGGAGAGAGAGCAGAGGGATGAGGCTGGAAAAGCAGGAATACAGGAATACAGGAATACAGGAAAGCAGGGAATGTGCAGAGCTCGGCTCCTCCTGGGTCGGCGGCAAAATCCTCGGAATCGGCTCCCCCCGCTCCTCCCGCAGCCCAGGCAGGGAATCGTTAGGGAATTGCAGGGAATCATTAGGGAATTGCAGGGAATCKTTAGGGAATTGCAGGAATTAGGATCAGGAAAACCCGAGGGGACGGCTCGGCACAGGGCCTGCCTCCGTGTTCTCGCAGTTCCAGCACGGAAGTGGGAAAACGTTTAGGAAAAATCGTTTGGATGTGAAGGAATTCAGGATAAATTCCGCCACCCCTCCCCACTGTCAGCTCCAGCCTCCCGAGCTCATCCCTCATTCCAGCAGCACAGCAACTCCACCCCATTCCCTGCACAGTTCAGGGATGCAGGTCCGTGTTTAGTTTAACCCTGGAACACTCGGAATTCCAGGAAAGTTCCAGGGCAATGTCAGGAAAAGGGAGACCCCATCCCAAAATCTCCCCAGCAGCACCTCYGGATTCGCTGTGCAGGGAACTGGAACCTCCCACCCCTCAGCTCCCTCCCTCCACCTCCAGAGCCTTTTTTTGGGAACAATTCCCGCTGGGATCGGCTCTTCCCTGCACTGTGGGAGGGAAGGGGAGGATGGGACGGGATTTGGGGTGGGAGGATCCGGGAGTGCAGCTCCACTCCTGGAATTCTGAGCAGGAATCCAGACCTGGCTCCTGCCAGCCTGGGATTCCCATCGCGTGGGCACTTCCCAGGATCTCATCCCAGACATTCCAGCAGTGCCCATCCCTGGAAGTGTCCGGGCCAGGCTGGATGGGGCTGGGAGCATCCTGCACTGGGAAACATTCCCTGCCCTTGGCAATGGGATTTTTACCCTTCCCAACCCATCCCGGATTCCACCAGGCCTGGATGGATCCCTGCTGTCCCACAGCAATTCCAGAGAAAATCCTGGGAAAAGGTGTTAAAAAATCCCGGGAAAGGAGAGACACCAGGGAGTTACAAATCCAGGGAAAAGGACTAAGAAATCCCAGGAAAAGGGGTCAAAAACTCCCAGGAAACGGAGACACCAGGCCCAGGAATGGGACGAGCTCCATCATTCCCAACCCATCCCAAGGCCCAGATGGATCCACGGGAACTCCCAGCCCGATTCCCATCCCGTGAACACCCCAAAAGCCGGGAAGAGCCGGGAGGATCCCAACCTTCTGGGCAGGGGTCTCCTTCTGGATCTGACTCTGCCGCAGCTTCTTGAGCAGCACCAGCTTGGCCTCCTCGAGCCGCAGCTCCTCCTTCAGCTGCTTGATGAGGCGCTCGCGCTCCTCGGGGCTGCTCTGCTGCACCGGGAAACACCGGGAAACGGGGAAAGGACCCAGTTACAGAGGGGATTCCCGGCTGGAATCCCACCCCCATCCCCATCCCCATCCCAGCAGGGAATTCCCGGCTGGAATCCCACCCCCATCCCAGCAGGGAATTCCCAGCTGATCCCATCCCCATCCCCATCCCAGGAGGGAATTCCCGGCTGGAATCCCA